TATTATTTTATTTAAAAAATACTAAATACAATTAAATTTTCCAGGCAAATTTGCCTGGAATACGGTTTAAGGGATATGTATTTTAGTCTCAGAAACAAACGCTATTAAGTGGTCAGATAGGATTTATTTAGTAAATTTTTGAGATATAGCTAATTTTTGTTGGATAAATAATAGACGTAAAAAAAAATATTTTTAGAAAATGTGATAGAAAAGAGGTGATAAGTAGAGAAGTGTGATATAAAGAATATGATAATAAGTGTGATAATAGTGTGGTGTGATAAAGAAAAAGGAATAATAGTAGTATGTAATTGTTTATTAGTAGATTGATTGATAAGTATATAAATAAATATACTATTTAGTAAATGATAAGTTTGTGTTAAATTAACATGCAGTACATGTTTGTACAGGTACTTTATAAGGTAAAATTAATTTGTATAATAGTTAAACTAGTTAAAGAAGTAATAGATAGTTATACAAAAGGTGTGTATAGAGAAAATTTTAGGGTAAAGAGAGAAATTTTAGAAAAAGAAGTTACAAGAGAGTAGAAGTTGTTTTTAGCCATATTTAAGTTAATATAAGGTTTACAAACTTTATTTAGAACTTGTTTTAATTAAAAGAATGAGCTCTACAACTTTTGTTATAAGTGTAGAGTAGGTTATAGTGACTATTTATGAGAAATAGTTAAAAGTTTAGTTTGGGTGGCCAAAAGCTGTAATTGTAGTTTTAAACTACAAGTTTAAAAGATATAGATTTAAAATTTTTAAAATATATGTAAAATTATAAGACGAGTAAGTTTGTTTAAGGTACTAGAGCAAGTTTTATTAGTAAAATTTTGTGTTATTTAAGTTTTTGTATAGATAAATTTTTAGATTAATTTTTGTATAAGAGATTTACAGAAAGAGTTTTTTTATAATTTCTGTAATTATTTTTAAGCACTAATTTTTAGCTATTATATAATATACTGTATATTCCCAAAAATAAGCTACTATTTTTAGAAGAAAAATTACACAAAAATATTAGAAGTAGCTTATTTTTGGGTAAAAGCGGATTTTGCTCGATTGAGAAAAATTTTACTAAGTAAACCAGCATGGCTTATTAAGTGAAAGTTATTCAGGAGATCAAAATACATATATTCTGAAAATTTATTGTAAATCGGATAACTTTTTATTAATTGACTTTTGATTTTTACGTTCAACAAATATGAATTTTAAAGAAAAATTAAAAAATTCATTGAATGTAACATGCAAAAGTTAATTTATAAAAAATTATCTGATTTATATAAAATTTTCAGAATATATATATTTTGATCTTCTGAATAACTTTCACTTAATAAGCAATGTCGATTTATTTAGTAAAATTTCGACTTTACTATAGAGTAACTACTGATAATCGTATAAGTAACTTATTTTTAGGCAATAGAAGTTTTTATGTTTTTCTTCTAAAAAAGGAAGGTAGCTTATTTTTGGAGTAGCTTATTTTCGGGAATATACGGTAATTAATCAATAAAAATACAAAAAAACTTAATACAATTTTAAATTTTGTTAATAAAATTTAAATTTTATTAATAAATTTAAATTTTGTTATATTTTTTTAGAATACAGTTTACCCTGTCAAAACCGATCCTGCCAAAATCGATAACTCCTTGTAATCAGTACAGAATCGGTCCACTATAGCTGTTCCATAATCCAAACCCAGTAACCTGTCATTTTTGATAATCAGTACTTAAAAAACAAGATATCGGGTTTGAAACAAGGCAATATCACGTGAAAAGTCATGTAGTCAATATGTGTAAAGTATTATTTTTGATGCGATAAATAAATTTAAGATATTAATGTATTAAAAATAATATTTTTAGACCACAAGCTTCATCTTACCGATTATCAATTTAAAAAAAATTATACGTAGCGAAGCGAAGTTTTAAGTACTCAAGATCTACAAGACTTCAGAAACTTGTTCTTAATTTGTTAATTTATTTTAATTATTGATTTGTTAAGCAGCATAACTAATGGTATTAAAAAAAAAGATCCAGAAATAATTATTCACACCATAGAAATTCACAAACATAGCAAAAATTGTGAATTTTCAAGATTACTACTAACTAGCTATTTATGTTGTAAGTGCAGCTTTAACAATTTTTTTTTATTGTGCTTTTAAATCAAGAAAAATAGTGGATTTGAATTATAACTTCATTATTTCACCGATCTATTTACAATGTTTACATTTTATTTAGATCATAAAAAAGAAAGAAGGCTCAAGAATTTATTTATATTTACTGATAGAATTATAAAAAGAAAGTTTTTTTTTTTAATGTTTTTAATTATTTTACAGATTACATTACTGACATTATGAATACAAACCTTAAAAAAATGATCCAGTGTATATTGAATCTGTTTTTTATTTTGTTTTCTTCGAACCTCTTCATGGATATGAGATTGGATTTTACGAAGAGACTTTAATGTTGCTCCACCATTATCAACCATCTCAGTAATAATTTTTAATACATCATGCAAAATAGCTAAATTTTTTTTTTGCAGTTAGAGTTGGTTCTATTATCTTTACCTCTTCTTCCTCTTGTTCTATTTCTGTAGTACCTTGAACAAAGTCTTCATCAGTAAACTGCTGGTGCACCTCTTGTTCGCCTTCAAGATTCAACCAGTTTTAACTGACGTTGGAGTACGAATATGTAGTGCATCGATTTGTTATTGAAGTTCTTCAACTAGTTCTTCGGCTGGGTTTTTTTCTACAATTTTGGAATCATTAGTAACAGGGGAACAGAGATAGGTAATCCGGCTTCATCACGTGGTGTCACTATTTTTGTGTGAGCCCAACAATATTTAATTGTTTCGAAAGACACCTCATTCTAAGCAATTTTTGTCCATCTCATACTTTGCAACTGATCAACCTTATAAATATCTCTTTTACCAGCCTCATCCAAGTCAATTGCATGCTGAAGTTTTAGGTGACAATAATGAAGCTTGAACGATGCAATAATACTAGCGTCCATGGGTTGGATTTTTGATGTTGCTTTGGATGGTAAGAAAAGAACTTCTATGTTAGAAAAAGAAAGAGAGCCAACAACATGTGTAGAGACCTTGTCAAGAATAAGAAGGATATGGTAGTTTGATTCTCTTATTATCATATTTAATTTTTTCATCTATTTCTGAAAAAACATAGCAGTCATTCACGCTTTTTGATTATTATGGTAGTAGAATCCAAGTTGTTCACCAGTTTTTTTTTTAAAACACCTAGATTGATTATACTTCCTGACGGACTCTTTAAAAAAAAAAAAAAAAAAAAAAAAATTATATCTAGGTTTTTTTGCATGCCTGATAAAAAAAGGTTGAAGCTTGTGAGTACCATCAGCATTAGTCATAAGTGCAATTGTGATTCTTATTTTGTCTTTTTCTGACCCTTCAATCTGACGAGATGCAATTGTACGGTCAGGAGCCATAGAGTAAAACAAGCCTGTTTTGTCTATATTATAGATATCATGTAGAGGGTATCGATCAGTAAAGCTAATAATCCTAGAAAGACTTGAGTTAATAGCTTTAATATCCACAGAACCACTTTCACCATGTAATTTAAATTTATAAAAATTATGCCTTTTTTGAAAGAATGCAACCAGCTATTTAAAAATTCAGGTTGATCGTTTTCAGAGATATTTAATATATCTGTGAATTTTTAACCTTGGCTTTAATTATATCACCACTTAGACGTATGTCTCAGTTTTCATATTGTAATACCCAATTTGCCAAGGTGGTATCCAATTCAGGAAATATAATAACATGACGCTTTTTAATTCCAAGGTCATTTGATATCATTTTTTTAAACTCTTCTTTTTTTTTTAGAATATCTGATATTGTACTTTGACCTGAGACCTTTGTAAGATTAAATTCTTTTTTTGCCTATTTAGCAAGTTCTTTTTGGGATACCAACAGATTCATTTGATGATGATCATATATTGCTTTTCTTTGTTTATTAGTTAAATTGCCTATACTTTTTGTATATAATAACAAATGCGAATACTATTGATAGAGAAATACAAATAAAAAAAAAAAGCGAGGTAAAAGAAATTTTTATACTGATTCTGAAATGATTGATTTTTGATTAATTTTATTTATTATTTTATTTTATTTTTTTGTTTAATATATTTTAGCAAAATATTTTACATCTAATCTGATTTTTGATGATAATGATGATGACTAATTCATTCGGTTATACAACAGGAGTATTTTATTTTATTTTTTTTTTTTATTTCTAAGCATTTAATTTTTCTTTTATTAAATATATTAACGAACTTATATGCATTGACATAGCCTTAACGTAGCTCTTTTTGACTTCATTGCCTTTATCCTTGTTCTAAGAAAATTAATAGCTCAACCTTAAGCCAATTCCAGATTCAGAGTTGTTAGTAGTAACTTATCATGGTAAGTTACCAGTAAGTTACTATGGTAAGTTACTAGTAAGTTACTATTTTAGAACTTACCACAAAATTATAAATTGTCGTGGCTTACAACCCTGTCAGAAACTGGTTAGATTCAAGTCATATAAAGCTTTAATCCATGGCTTAAAGCTAAGACTTGACTTGATCTATATCAGTTCCCAACTATTGGAGGTGTCAATTTTATTTGTGTATGTGCACATATTTAGGTTTCATTATTTATATTAAACCATATGTAATAGAATATGTGTTCTATGCAAATTTAAATAAAATACACAGTTAATTCAAGAGGGTGCGTATTACTTCATTGACAACTATTTTATAGACATCTTATTTTATAGACAATTAATTCAAAGACAAGTTTGTTTTAAAGACAATTAATTTACAAATAGTTCATTTTATAAACAGTTCATTTTATAGGCAGTTTACTTAAACAGACTAGTAGATTGAGTTATTTTCTGTCAAAGATCTTCTATGAAATGAACTGCTTGTGAATTAATTGTTTTTAAAATAAACTTGTCTTTAAATTAATTGTCTATGAAATAAGACGTCTATAAAATAATTGTCTATGAAGTGATATGTATCCAATTCAAGATAGGTAAGGCTTATTTATAGACTGATTTTCACATTAATGCTAACTCCATCAGAAAATCAAGTAACCAGTGTTGATACTTGTGAATACATAACTGATATTTCTAGAAGCTATTCAGAGATCTTATCTGCACAAAAAATCTGCTTTTCATTCTTTTAAAGCTACCAAGCCTATTCAAGAAAACCAGAGTAGAAATTAGATTGGGCTAATATAGTGAGCAGATATATTGCTAGTAGAATCTTCTGATGGTATTACAGCATGGATGTTAATGGTTCAGATCAATTGTCTTTGTTTTTATATGATGCCAGTAATCCCGACCACTGGTCTCATTAAAAAGACCAATTGGTTTAAACCTCTGCACTTCTATTAATTTATGTTTAATACTTTGGATTTTGCCTTAATGTCAAGAAAATAATAATTTTTATTTAGCTGAACATGAGAAATAAAACAAAAATTATTACCCATAATCAGTGATCAATGTAGGCACAGTGTACATAGATTCAAATTTGCACATTTACTATTAAAAATGATCTCTGTATATATAAAGTGCATATAAAATTTTTTTTTGCGTATATTTTTTAAATTTGATACGTAGAAAATATACATATAGTTTTAAAGTTGTGTATATACTGTTTATACATAATATGTGTTTGCACTAATAGTTTTAAATTTATAATCTGTTATCGTTATTATTTGTATATACGAATAAGTTTATTAACTGGCCAATCATCTTTCACATAAATCACGTAATCTACTATTTGTCAAATTTTGGATTTTTTTCAAATCTGATATCCTCTTGAAACCGATATAAAATCTTTTTACCATGTATACCAGTTTTGACAGGGTAGACTGTAGTTATATTCATAATACTGTGTTATATAACACCCTTATGCTATATCTCAGAAATATATTAAATAAATAGGTGTAGATACTCTAAATAAAAATATTTAGCGTCTTTGAAAACTTTATAGGAACTAAAATCGAAATCTATTAGAACCTTATGTCTAATATATATTATATAATAAAAAATCTTTATTTATCTTAAAACTGGACTCTAACCCTAAGTAAAACATAAGAATGCTATATTAAAACAGTGTTATTAATATAATATTTCATTTTTTTATATTTTTTTACTTTTTTTTTTACTTTAGTGATCCTATCTTTATTTTATAAATTGGAAGTAGATTACAAAAATATCCTCAGCTAGCTAGGTTTATATGCAAATTGCTAAACTACTATATTTCTGTCTAAATAAAGATTTTCTCGATCTGTCTCATTATCACGGTAAAACTATAGCCGAAGCCAAGAATTTTACACTAGAGTATAACCCAAAAGCAACCCATCTAAGTGACAATTTTTTTTCTTCCAAGATCCTTAATTTACTGAGGATATAAACTCTGAACATTAACAAATAAAAGCATCGACCTTGTTAGAATTACTGCTCTACAATAGAGTACCACCAATTTGATGACATTTTCTCGTAAAGAAGTAAAAAAAAAAAGAGTAAAAGTGAAATAAAAATAGAGAAAGTAAAAAAAAGAAAATATATAAAAAAATGACTAAACTATAAAGAAATCTAAAAAACTATTCTAAAATCTAAAAGAA